CATACAACATCCGGTTTCTCCGATATTAAAAATTTGCGAGTCAAAAATGTCAAATTCTTGTATCTCCGGATTGTTGTATGTGTCCGACATGATTCAAAAATGGAACAACAAATTTCACTTGCGATGTGATGTTTATAAATTTGTTGATCACTGCGGGTGATCATCAGAAGTTTTAGTGTGTGTTTATAATTGTCGAAAGTGTGAAATATTAGTAGTTTCTGGTTTTATTCAAATCTTATTGCTATCTACAAAAACGATAATATTGAATAGGTCACCAATCCTGAAGTCCTAATTGACATTATTATGTAAGCTAAAATAATCAAAGAAATTATATAATAATAATAAAAAGAGCTAGAACAAATTGTCCAGAATAAAAATTTTTTTAGAATCATTTCGTCACATACGATGAAATGTTATATTACTTTAAATAAAGACGTATTATTTCGCGTTTCTATCTACGTATTGAATATTGTTACACGAGAATAGTAACTACAAAAGTACATAATAATTTACAATTATTTTCTTTTACTAGGGGTTTTACTACCCTCGCTGGTAGTAGTTGTCTCGGTGGTGGTAGTAGTATAGGTGACAGTGTTGCCATCGGTGGTGGTATCAGTGCTGGTGTCGGTGGTGGTATAAGTGCCGTATCCACCGGCTCCACCAGCTCCTCCAGCGTATACTCTTTCTGGACCCTCATAATTGATGGTGGTGAGCTCTGTAGGACCCTCGGTTTCAGTTTCGGTGGTGACAGTGGTAACACCGTTTTCATCGGTAACTGTCGTAATTTTAGTTGTGACATTACCTTCTTTAATTATTTTTGTTTCTCTCGTTTCTTTTGATGGTGTAACCATTTTCCCTGTAGAAAATTCCTTGACCACATTTGTTTCCATTGATCCACTTCCTCCCTTTACCGGTAATACTCTATGCTCCTCGACAATAGTCTTTTCATCCGAACCGATATTTTTAATAATGTTTATATCTTGTTTCTTTTTAATTCTCTGAGCTGAACCGACGTTCATCGAATCCTTTTCAGTAACAATGGTCTCCTTTTTCGTCACGACTTCTCCAATGCGTTCTTGATTCTCACCACCAGAAATGTTAACATGTTGTTTCGGTGCTAATTTGGGAGTTCATTAAATAAACGAACATTATATTATATCTCTACTTGAAGATTAAATAGGAAGGAATAATACGTTTTGGCATAAACTTACTTGAATTATATTCACTTGTGAGTAGAGTGCCATGAGTGCCATGATTTTTGTGAGTAGTTATATGTGATGAATTGTAACCCGCAGATCCTATTTCAGCATATTCATTTGAATCGGGACCATATGCATGTGGTTCGGGACCTGCACCGACGATAGTTGTAT